CAACAACGGCGGCGATGGAGGCGGCAGAAACGGCACGGCGGCGGCGGCGGCGGCGGCGGCGGCGGCGACGGCGGCGGCGGCGGCGGCGATGGCGATGGAGGTGGTGGTGGAGCCAGCGGTGGTGGTAACCGGCCAGAGCCGGATGCACACCTGCAGGTGCAGAAGGCGCTGAAACTCCAAAGCTCCTCCGCGAGAGAGAGAGAGAGAGAGAGGGAGAGGGAGAGAGAGAGAGGGAGAGAGAGGGAGAGAGAGAGAGAGAGAGAATTCTCGGCTGGTCTCGCTCGTGCGCTCTCTCGCGCCAAGGTTCCTCGATTCTCCATTTATTCTTGACGAAGTCTCCTTATACGAGTTCCTCGCGAAATTGCCGGTCTCTCGCTTGTTTTTACACGGTGGTAAGAAAAGCGCAGGGTAAAAATAAGCAGGCTCGAACGAGCCTGCGTGTAATAAGTTTACGCGGGGGGTAAACGAGATCGTCTGGAATTCGAAGTCGCGAAATATGGTCCCCCGTTGCACACGTAGAAAACCCTCTCGAGATGTACATTGGTAAAGCGAAGCACTCGGACGACGGCGCTAGGAATGACTTCAAGCCGCTGGTAATAGTGCATTCCGGTTATCTCGAGAGGGTGCATTACGTTCCACTCTCTTAAAACAACGTTGGAATTTAATGAAGGCGGTAAATTTTTATAAGGTCCTTATCGTCGGGGTTGCGTTTCGCCAGATAAAACATGCTTCTCAAGTGTGCCAAACAGCACTGAGCGATTTTAAAAACGCGGTAAATTACACGCTCGTGTATATTACGGAAATGAAAAAAAGAAAAAAATGCGTTGGCAAAACGAGAGGGGGGGAGGGAGGGAGGGAGGGAGGGGAGGGGCGTTGAAACAATCGGACGTGCTTGCAAGGGATGTGCACTCCCAAATTTTAACGGTCTTCTGTCTCCCCTTTCCTCTTTCCCTCTCAAGGTGCGCGATGTGCGGTAAAATTATAATTATTACATACAAAAAACAAAGTGCTTGATGCAACACATTCGCGATAAATATACTTTCAGCTAAAAATATAATTTCGGACGCATTACAGAAAATTGCGTGATGAATCAAATATGTGACACGCTGGCAATAATGACATCTACATTCGAGCAAGCTAATTTCACCCTCCGGGAAGTAATTTTAACCAAATTTACATAATTCTCTCATTTAAGTCTTGTTAAAATCGGCACCCATACTGCTGTACTGGGACCGGCAGAGTTTAATTATTTTAATTACTTAATAGGACGCGCTCTGACCAATTTTGCTTAATACATATTTAGAGCGCCGAGTAACACAAATGTAATAACCGACTTAAATTTTAGCCGCGCTAGAGCGTGCTATTACGCTTATACAAAGTGCGAGCTCTTCCAATATCCCCCCTCCCCCCTCCCGACTGATATTTATCGACGTGTGTTTTCTCCAACCTTACGTCCAATCGCTTCGTATCTTCCTCATTCTCCGGAGAAGCTAACGGCTGTGTTGCTATTACCGTAACGTTCCAATCGTGTAAATATCCCGCGCCTAGCGAAATTCAGTGAAAAGTTTACGGGTAAATTTCGTTTCTTCCCTGTTTGTCTTGCCGACTTTTGCGCGCAACGTTCGCTCGGGCTGGATATCTAGCATGACCGGGGCGTCGGTGAAGCGCGAGCCAATCCTGCCGACGACGGCGGCGGCGGCGGCGGCAGTTTGTAAGCGGTGGGGAGCCCATGCGGCGGGGAGGAAGAGACAGAAGGGTGCCAACGAACGTTGGGCCCCTATCGCGCGCGCGAGCGGTCGAGAGCGCAAGAGCGAGCGGGGGTGCGAGAGAGAGAGAGAGAGCGAGAGCGAGAGAGAGAGAGAGAGAGAGAGAGACAGCCTGCGAAGGGAAGAATACGAGGGTATAGGTTGCACGACGGCAGTTTGCCCCCACCGATCCCTACGGCAGGTGGTTCTTTCTCCCGCGGGCTCTCCACTCGAGGGACCACCAAGCATTTTGGCCGTCTGTGCCTGCGCCACGAAGGAGCAAGGAGCGCGCGGGCGCGCGCGGCGAACCTGTCCTGGCCACGGACGCGTGCACGCGAAGGGCGGCCGCCGCCGCGCCGCCGATGCATCGGCTTCGCGCGATGCCCGCGATTGGAACGCGCGCGGCGGATTTTTAATGGATTGCGCTCGTAATAACGCGAACGTGCCCTCCTCTCTCGCTCTCTCGCGTCGTTCGGAAAAATTCGCGGCTTTTTTAATCCACTACTCCCCGTAGTCAGGAATCGGAAGCCGCCGCGCGCTTATCCGATGATGAAAAACTCCGACCCCCGTGGCGATTCCTCGATACGTTACACGCATTTATCTCTTCCTCCTCCTAGCTGCCCCTCCCTCTCTCTCTCTCTCTCTCTCTCTCTCTCTCTCTCTCTCTCTCTCCTTTTTTCCTTTTCCGATATGCACTTATCGATTGTCAAGAGCGATGTATTTCCGTCGGAAAATAGAACGCACTGAACGTAACCTGATCATCCTGGATGAACCTGGAGATAATTCGGTATACGTATATCGATGCGGTGAAACGACGACATTTTGATAGTATCGCAGCGCACGCGGTTGGCGTTTTCGCGTGTCCAGTCGCAATTTCGGCGCGATGGATAACGCCAACTCGTAAGAGTTTCGTAGATATATATTCGGTTCGTTTGCTGATTCCGCGTATTAATCTTCCGCGTGTTGTTTGGTTTTTTCTCTCAAATAAAAGTCTCCTCCTCTCTCCCCCTTCTCTCTCTCTCTCTCTCTCTCTCTCTCTCTCTCTCTCTCTCTCTCTCTCCCCCCCCCTCGCATTCTCTATGGAAGACTCAACTGGTATATGATTTGCATAGATCCGCAATTCGGAGGAAAGATAGCGCCAACGCCAAAGTGAGGCTTGGCTGCACATAAATGGGTTCTTCGTACACACACACACAGACGCACACGCACATACCATGTGGCACGCGTATATACGTTCGGGTCGCAGTTTATTTCAACGTCGATTGTAGTCGTGGAATTCGGACGTGCGCGATAGCATAAATTAGCGTTTGATGCAGTGGGGACTGACTCGCCATTGGTAAGCGATAAGCTGTCGCGGAGTTTAAAACTGTATTCTGCATTGGCTGCGCGCCTCATCATAGAATCATAGAGTGTCGATCACACACGGTTTCAGTATTCGCGCGCTAGCTGGGCAGATTGAAATTCCAGCCGGATAAATTCGAGCGAGGTGACGGCGGGTCAACGACAACATTAATGAGCGAACAATGATGACGATGACGATGGCGGGACTCGTGCGTAAAAATTTGCGCGTCGCGCGCTATGGGAAATAGCGTTATTATTATTAGCGGAAGCTGCGGTGTCGCATGCTTCCGTTGGAGACGAGCCGATGATTGCGCTTGCTTTCGCGCACGTGACACACACACACACACACAGCAGCGGATCGATACATGTGTGTGTGTGTGTGTGTGTGTGTGTGCGTGCGAGTGTACGAATCGCCGAACGTGCTTGCTTAAAATAGGGCCGACCCTAGTCGGGCGGCCGCTACCAACGCGACAATTTCATTTTCACGTTGCACCACCGAACGGAAGAATGTTCCGAGGAATGCGAACGACGCGTCTATTACATAACACACCACGTTTATTAGGCTCGTGTCTCCGCTGACGCGGCGAGGCTTGTTGTGTCCGTCGATCTCTCTCCGTACAAGCTGAACCTTTCAGCTCATAAATGTGACTTTTTATTTATCTTTGGCGTACAAAGATGCGCGCGCGCGCGCATCGACGAGAGCGAGCTCGTCTCTCGAGACAAGGTGAGAGGAAAGAAGCTCCTCCTCCATCGAGGATCTTGGTTGCCGTACTACGTTGCCGTAGAAAAGACGTCGAATTTCGTATTTCGTCTGGAACATGAGAGCGCGGCTATACCTTCGGGATGCTTGCCTCTGCTGCCTCGCCCTTTTGGCTAACAGGTCAGCTCTTGGAATGTTGAAACACGCGCGGTCCCTCTTTTCTCTCTCTTCTTCTCGGGGCCGTGCTAATCATTCAGTCTCGGGAAATATTCCTTTTCGAAGATTAGCGGCCGCCGCTGCGCTGAAGGCGCTTGTAACCGGCGTCGTTAACCATGTCGAATTGCTACGCGTGTATTGTTCGCAAAACGTGAGCGAAAGGTTAAACGCCCAAGGATGGCGTTTTAACGTTATTATCGCCACCCTCGGCGCCAAGTTACTCGATAAACGTGAAAGAAACATTGGCGCAAGGAGACGCAAGGAATTGGTAGGCTGCAGGGCGACAGTGTCGCGGACTTTTGTACCCCGCGCTTTTACCGCGCGAAGTGTGTATCGCGAAGTACGACGCGCGAGTTGCCGGCGACTGCAAACAATGTTGCGAAAGCATCGGCGCTTTCGCGCTTTTATTTCCGCCTTCCTGTCGAAGGAGGCGTGAGTTTGCGAGTTTCTCTCCCGTTCGAACTTCGTTAATCTTGCACGCGCTGACTTCGACAGGATTTCACATCACACATCGCACGTGCCAAGAGAGGCCGCGGGTATACCATCATAACGTCGGGAAGAATCGCCGACATCTTTGTGGCGATTGAGTAGATTCGGCATCACAATGTCCGGGCGTTCTTGGCAACCGGAGAGAGATTCACCCTCGCCTCGGAATCCGACGCCAGCGATTTTATCGGCCGTACAGCGCGCGCGCGACGCGACCTGAGAGATTTTCGCGGCGAGGAAGGAAAGGATCTCGCGCGAAAACAAATCATCGACGCGCGGCTCGATTTCCTACGACGATCATGCATGCGCGGTTAGCGAGTAAATCGCCAACCGCGCCAACAAACATAGCGAATTCAATCAATAATATCATCAACTATGCATCGTGCTTCTTCGTGGAATAATGTATCGCAATGCTCGGTCAATTAATTGACAAATCAAATTAGCCGTCGCGTACGTGCAGCGCGCAACGGTTGCACTTTTCTTCCTTTCCCCAAACTAGGCCAGCGACTCGC